GCTTCCTCCCACCCCTGCCCGCTCGGGGGGGAACGGTGGCTCTGGGATGCGGGGTGGGGGTCCCACAGCCTCAGCATCCCCCATCCAACTGGGATGCGGTGTCCTGACCGCACGGGAGGCAGGCACCGAAGGGCACCCACTTCTGCGCAGGCGGTACCCGGCACAGACGGGGTCTGGGGTCCCCCATAAGCAAATTTCCCCCCCTCCATGAACCCGGTGGGGAGCACTCCCCGGGGGCCGCCCGGTCTCGTTACAAATGGCAGCAATTAAAGGGCTGCTCCGGAGGAAAAACCCGCTTCGCTTCTCTCTCTCGGGTCCTGGTTTGTGCGGTGATAAGAGGGGTGGGGGGAATCTGCCCCCAGAGCCTTCTCCCACATCTTTGCTCTCGGGGTGCGCGGGGGGGAAACAGCTCAGCCCAGCCCAGCCCAGAGCTCGAGGAAAGACGGGTACAAAGCAGCAACAGTCAGCGCACGAACAGAAAAATGAAAAGAAAGGAAAAAGTACAGACACGGCATTTTGATGGGGCAACACCGACGGGGACAAATGAGAGGTGGGGGGAGACACGCCACAGTCGCCAGGGCCGGACCCTCGCCTCTGCCTGCCTGCGCTTCGGGCCCCCTGCCCACGGCCAGGGCTGCGGCCGGCTTTATTTCAGACAGGCATCAGCATGAACAGAAACAAATCAGGTCTTGTCGGCCGTTCACTTTTAATAATGACCAGGTGTAAAAAGAAGACTGAAATTAATCATTCGGCCGTGTAACTCTGACCCAGCAGTCCTCGCCCCGCTCCCGGCGTTCCGCACGTGTCTGATGTTCGGTGGGTTCTGCCGAACCCGCCTGGTCACAGCCGTGAGGCGTATCCAGCACTCGGGCACAGGCATCGAATCGCTCTCCGGAGGGGGGATGGCTCACCCAGGCCCTTTCACTGATGGGGAAACTGAGGCACGAGGAGGTTAAGGCCAACATTTCCAAGCGTGAGATGCTTCAAGCCTTACTTTCAGCGGTACCGAGAAGCTGCAGATCCTGGTGATGTTCAGGAGGAGTCGGGGGCCTTCGGTGATCCCCAAAGGCAGGCTAAGAGCACGCGAGCCAGGGTCCCAAATCCGCAGACAGCGGGGAACACTGGGGCCAAAATGATTTGCTCGGGGACGCTCAGCATGCCAAGAGCGGGGCAGGAGAGCCCCCACGCTGGGACCCAGGACAAGAGCCAGCCCCAACCCTGCAGGAGGGGCCTCTGCCAGGGAAAACTCACCGTCACCACCACACCAACAGGGTCATCAGCTGGCACAGAGCTTTTGAATACAGGCAAAAAAAAAATTTCTCCTTTTTGCTCCTTTTTCTTTGTTCCAATGTGCAAATATTTAACAAGGGGCGAGGGAGGACGAGGCATTGGGCTCCATCCCTGAGCCCGCCAGGCAGCGGCAGCAGGAGGTCGCTGGCGATGACACTGAATTTGGGGATTTCTGGGGTCTGAAGCTCCCCTAAGCCGACGCTGGTCCCTCACCCCATCCACAACGGGGGCCACGCACCTCGCTGCCCGTGCAGGGCTGCCTCCTCGGTGAGACACCGGTGAGCACTGATGGAGCTCAAAGCACAGCAGGTCCTCCGAAAACTGAAAGCCTTTCAGGGGAAATTGTCAGAGCAAATGAGGTTTGCCTTTGGCTGGGAATTATGTCAAACGTCGCGGGGTCCATCATTTATCAGCGGAGGCGATTACAGCAGCGTCACATTCATTGGGAACATCAATTGGCACTGGGAAGGGACCGGTCTGGCAGACGAGCGTTACAGAAGTTGGAGGCACTGCAAAGATCTACCCAACAGAGTCGCGTTTTGGCCACAAAGCATCAAGGAAAAGGAGTCTCCAGGGGAAGGAGCAAGGTGACACTCTCCAGGAGCCCCCAGCAATGAGCCATGGGCACCCTTGGGGGCAGGAACCACAGAAGAGACAGAAATATTGCACGTGGACATGAGGTTGGTCTCCTTGGGGATGGGGAAGGGTTTGGGTTTTTTTATGGACATCACAAAGTGTCACCAGCACACGGCCCTGAAACTGGGGGAGCCAAGCTGCCTGGCAAAGGACCGACACCGCTTGGCCCGAGAGTCTTTTCCTGCCACGCTGGGAGGATTCAGACCCTGGTGGGACACCGTCTTGTCACCTGCATGGTGGGACCCCTGTGAGAACATCCTCCACATCCAGATGTCACCTCCCACCGCTCATGCGGACGGTCCCCTGGCTGGGACAGGAGCTGCAGACATGCCGGCAGACAGCGGGGTGGAAAGATGCTGCCACCATCAGCCGCGGCGGGGACGGAGGGGTGAGCCCCCGGGGTGGTGGGAGAGCCGCAGCGGGGTTGCTGGGCCAGGAAGAAACCACATCAGAGCAGGAGGGGTTTGCACCCCGGCTGGTGACAGCGGTCCCACAGCCATCTTGCACTTTGCTCCCAAGGAGGTGCAAATCTCTCCTTCCGCAGGGCCGGGGCCAAGGCGGATGGCAACAGAGCTGTGGTGGCACCCACGTACGCTCATCCTCCAGTGGAGATGCCAACGGGTGTCCCACAGTGTGTGTCCCAGTGGGGCTGAGCCCTGCTGGGGCACATCCCGGAGTGGCGGCGGGTGATGGAGAGGCCAAACAGGCACCGCTCGTGGCTGGGGCGGTCGTTTCCAAGCCCCACGCTCGGGTGTCTCCAGGCGTGTTTCTCCATCCCTCCGCCTCCCCCAGGGCTCCCCCCGCCGCTCCGCTTTGGGGCTGTGCCCCCGGTTTACAGCAAAACCTCCCGCATCCTAAACGAGCAGCAAGGGGATAAGGAGACATCCCGAGCTGCGTGTCTCCCAGCCCGGCACCCCCGAGGCAGGAGCTGCCACATCGCCCCAGCCGGGATGGGGGGACAGAGCGAGTGGTCCCCATGGGCACCCCCTCTGCTCCCCCGGTCCCCCAGGCACACGGGTTAATTCCCAGCCGCCTCCCTGGGGTGCAAATGGACCTTCCCACCATTTGCCAAAAATAAAATAGCAAAGGAATCCGCTTGAAAGGAAAACCCAACTCTCGGCTCCATTAATACTTTTTCATGCAGTGAGAAAATGAAAAAAAAAATAAAAATAAAAAAAAGAAGGAAGTGTGGATGTTCTGGTGCCCGGCGGTTTCCTCGCCCTGCCCAGCCAAGGGACGGAGCAGGCTTGGACGAGCACTCGCTGAGCTTGCAAAGGGAAGGGCGAACAGAAAAATGCAGAAAACAGGGAAATGGGAAGAGGAAAAGAAGCTACAGCATCCCCTTAAAACAGCAGCCAGCCCACGGAGCTCGGGATACGGGGGGTGGGAGGAGAGGGGGGAAGGCAGATTTTTGGCTTCATCGTTATTGCAGGCTCCCGGTGCCCCGCAATAGTGTACGAGCATGTAAACCTTACGTATCATCACCTAGGTGGTCGGACACACACACGAGAGACTAAACACGGCAGCAACATTTACAACAAATAAATAAGGATATTGATCGTCGAGACAGGCATATTAAAAAAAAAAAGCCTCACTTTTTTCCACCAAAGAAAAAAAAAAAAAAAGAAAAAGCACAATACTGTCTCACAAAAAAAAAAAAATACTAAAATAATAATATATATCCCTAGTGAGCCGGGCCGGGCTGCCAGCGGCATCGCAGGTGACGCCAGGACCGTGTTCCCAATTGCCGTCAGTGCCTCGGCTCCCCGGCCGCCCCCCGCCGGCAG